GTGCTATGATGATCCCATCATTACAACCCTGCTTAGGAACCTTCAGTGGCACAACAAGTCCAAAACTCATTATCTTCTCTCCCTACCCCCAAAACCCACCCCTCCTCCTAACTTCCCTATCCCTTGGAGTATACCCTCATCCTTGCGGTCATGCAGGTTTGAAACCTTGTAGCCCTCTCATCCACCACACAGAGACAATCACTTGCCAGATCTCATCCTCTCCACTCTCACTGTCACCACCCAAGTTCAAGCCCTTATCACCTCCTCTCTAGACTCTGCCATCGCCACTTCACTGGTGTCCCAGCCTTCAGTCTCTCCTCTCTCCAATCGAATGTCCACACAATTGTCAAAGTGGTATTTTTAAAGCACAGGTCTCCACCATGTCACCACCCTGATCTAGAAGCTTCAGCTGGCTCCCTATTACCAACCACTGGAATCCAACACAAGTTCCTGTCTGGCATTCAAACCCCTTCTACTCCCCTTTATCGGTTTATTACATATTACTCACTTTCATGCCTTCTTTGGTTCGGCCAAGCTAACCTTCTTTCTGTTCCTCACATACAACACTCCATATCCCATCTCCATAACCTTGTACAGGCTGCCCCTGAATGCCTCCTCCTTCTAGCTATTAGTGTCCCTCCAAAAAATTACCCTTTATTTACTTTTGTGTATTTTGCATATGTTATGTATACACATGTCTTCATGGACAAAATGTAATATTCTAGAGGGCAGGGACTATTTCATTTCTGTTTTTGTATCTCTAATGCCTGATATGTCATAGTTACTTTAAAAGTCACTGTATTGATTTACTGGATCCTAGTGCCTGCCAAAATAAAACAGAAATGTGTCATCCTAACATTCTAGAGTCCCCACCATACCTTTCCAGTCATCTCACGCTATACACCTTTACAAATTCCACGCTGTGGCTAAACTCATAATCCTGGGTTTCCTCTGGACTCTGCCCCTCAGAATGAGGCCTGAACTGCCCACCACCTCCCAATTCTGCCTCCTAGTTGAAAAGAGCTTCCACACTGCCAGGAACTTCACAAGTGATCGTTGATGGGATTCTATGAAGGAAATGCAGAGAAAAGGTGAGGCAGCTGACTGGAACAGGCCTTGATCGCTGGCCCATCCGGCTGTATCTACAGAATTCTGTTCTGTCCTGCACATCCAAGAGAGGAAGCATGACAGGCTGAAGCACAAACAGCAGGGCTGTCAAGCAGGATGGAGAAGGGACTGGAAACCAGACCACATGAAAACTGGCCGAAGTAACTAAGGACTCTTGGCCCAGAGAAGAAAAGTCACAATTGACATCTTCAGCATATAAAGGGCTATCGGAAGAGGGATGAAATTTGTTCTCCTTGGCTCTGTTACTAGATGCAATGAGAAGTGGGAAGTAATCAGATTTTGGCTCCACGTAAGGAAGACCTTCTAGAAAAGGAGAGCTGTCCCATGAGACTGCCTTGGAAGGTGAAGGGCCTGAACATAGGGCACGTTGAAGACTCCCCGTTGGGAATGTTATGCAGAGGATTTCTGCATTATATGAGAAACTGGGCAACAGGAGGCTCGGATAACTCTTTGATTGTATATCACCCACCTTCTAATCTGGGGTTTTTCACTTCTATTGGCTCGTTCCTTATACCCTTCAAGCAGCCTAGAATGCACTCCTCCTCTCTGAAGACACTCTACCTTCAAGGCTCAACTTAGTTGCCACCTCCTCCATAAAACCTCTCCTGAGCCCCTACAACTGAAAAGGATCTCTGCCTCCTCAAATTTCTTATAGCCTAGATCCCTCTCCATTGAACTTATAGCACATTCTCAGCACTACAATCCAAAGAAACCTTCCCCACAGCACCCCACCCACCCCTTTAGACTGCAAGCTGTACGAAAGCAGGGAATCCATCTTATCAATTTTTGTATCCTCGGTACCTAGTGGCTACTGTGCACTTCAACAAACATCTACTGAACTGAATGCCATGTTTTCCCATGAGGAGAGGAAGTAGAAGGAAAGCTCACGCTGAGGACAGGACTTGGAGTCACTGTACCTGTGTTTAAATCACAGATCTACTTCTCATTACCTGGGTGACCTTGGGCAAGAAACTGAATATCCCTGGATCTCAGTTTCCTCATCTGTAAAATAAAGGGGTTGGACCAACTGACCTCGAGGGTACCTTCTAACTTTAGACATGATGCCACAGCCAACACAAAGTATGATGTGGCTCCCATGTAGTGACCCATCCCCTTTTTGGAGTAAGAGAATCTTTAGCATGCATCACCAGCAAGCAGAGGTCCAAAAGATTCTCCACTATATTGCACACACATAACACGAAGTAGCATACAATGGGGCAATCCACATGAGCATACAACTAGGTCTCTAGCAAGCTTTAGTCTACGCAAGGGAGAAGTCAAGGAAACCTGACATAAACCAAGATGGAAAGACAAAAAGAGATGGCTTCTAATGGGGAGATACTGAATATAGGTAAACTTTGGCTTGATGTAAGGAAAAACTTTCTAAGAATTAGAGCTATCCCAAAGATGGGATGAGATGACTGGGTAGGGAATAAGTTCTCCCCCACCCTCTGGGTTCCCTTGTCCTTGTCTTCAAACAAAGGCATCTAGCCTACCTGTTGGCTATATCAGAGAGGAGATTTCCATACAGATACTAATTGAACTAGATGATTCTGTGAATCTGACTCTTTACTCTCTGGGGACACAAAAAAAAGTAGCATCAGAGCAGCAAGTACCAAGGGCATTCATTCTGTTGGGTTCTATGGGAAGACTCCATGGTATGCAAGTCAGATTGCAGTTTGGGGAGAGCAGCCTCCTAAGCATCAGTGTACCTTTAATTGCTTTGTTCATCATACAAAAAAAGGAAACCGAGGCCTAGAAAGCTGAGAAACTGTTTCCATCATGTCTTCATTTTCCATAGCATGATATATTAAATATGAATATTCAGAAAAAGATGACGAAGTTGTTTGGTGAAGTTGAAGAGGGTCATTTTTTGGAAAGTTTGAGAAAAAAAATATTTTTCTGAAAGATGTATGTGCCAAAAAGACACACCTTAGTGTTGGTTGTTATTTGCACCGACCGGAAAGGGTTGCTACATTTAACCTGAACTCAGTTGCATTTTCCATGTCTTACTTGGTGGGTCTCAAGCCTACCCATTAGGCAATATCAGAACAGATTCCGGCTGGGCTGAGATTAGATCAGGTGCGGTACACAGCCCTGGGGTGAGAAGGGTGGAGACGATTCCAATCCACCCCCACACCGGACACGCAAAGCCGCAGTGACACTATGCTAAAAACCTGTCTGAGCAACACTGGTTTTATAAGCAACTTTTCATGTCTGTGCTAGAGGCTGGGATAAAGAGGGTAGAGGTGGTAGGTAACAAAGGGTGGGGACACCACCACCAAAGCCCCAGAAAAAGAAAAAGAACGGGGGCAAGGGTTTGGAGAAAATTCATATGACACCTTTAAAACAAAGGAAAACTAGATTTCTCAAACATAAGATTAGTCTAGAGTCCCAAGAATAAAATTATATATATGTTAATTAAGACAGGATAAAAACAACACACTATTCATCACCTGTTGATGGCAAGCTCAAAACCTCTTTCAAGACATGATCTCCTTTCAAGGACAAGTGTTTTGCCCATTATAAAAAAAGAAACTGAGGTCCAGAGAGAGAAAAATGACAAGCATCATATCATGCAACACGAATCCAGAACACAGTCCTCTGGACTGTCAGGCCCAGTTTTATCAATTCCACCTGTCAGAACATCTGTTCTTCTCCACCTAACCTAAAAAGGTTAAATGGGAAAGGTCCACAAGCTGAGCTGGAATTGAGGAAGGGGTTCAGAATCTGAAGGAGCACCAGCCACCATGGAAAAAAGGGTGTGGCTAAAAAAATTTGTTTTCAACAACCTAACCTATACTGCTCTTGTCTCTGTAGCTGTCACTGGCTAAGAACCAGAGAACTTGAAACTGAATAAGACATACATACCAAACCTAAAAGGTAGCTAGATAGGTCAGTGGATAGAGTGCCAGGCCTGAAATTAGCAAGACTTATCTTCGTGAGTTCAAATCTAGCCTCAGCCACTTATGGCTGTGTGACCCTGGGCAAGTCACTTAACCCTCTTTGTCTCAGTTCCTCATCTGTAAAATGAGCTGGAGAAGGAAATGACAAACTACTCCAGTATCTTTGCCAAGAAAACCCCAAATGGGGTCATGAAGAGTCAGATGTGACTGAAACGACTCACCGATTACCACCACCACCACTAAAGCTAAGCAGGAACCACCATCCCTGCTGACCATTAATATCCAAATGAAATGAAAGCTGACCACAGAAAATAGGGGAGAAAAATCAGAGGCCCAAACATAAAAGAAGAGTGAACCTAGGGAGAAAGGAAATGCCCAGCACCATTTCTCTACTGTCTAATTCTAAGCATTTATTTAGGTGCATAGAATTATGGTTTTTGAGTCAGGAAAACCCAAGTTCAAATCTGCCTCCAATACTTACTAGCAGGGTGAACCCTCAGCAAATATATCACTTGGCCTCCCAGCCTCAGGTTCCTCACCTGTAAAATGGGGCACACCTACCACACATGGTTGCTGTGTGAGCAAATTAGCTAACATAGACGCTTTTGTTGTTGTTCAGTCATTTTCAGTCATCTCTGACTCTTCGTGACCCCATTTGGGGTTTTCTTGGCAAAGATACTGGAATGGTTTGCCATTTCCTTCTCCAACTCATTTAACAGATAAGAACACTAAGGCGAACAGGGCTAAATGACTTGCCCAGGTTCATACAGCTAGGAAGTATATGAGGCTAAATTGGAATTCAAGAAGATGAGTGTTCCTGACTCCAGGCCCAGTACTCTCTATATGCTAGCTATGATTATCTACTCTCCCCTCAGTGTGTGTCCTTCTCACTCTAGGCTAAGAAGATGAACTGGTCCTCACAGGGCCAGGAGGGATGCTAGCAGAGGAGAAAGCATGGAAGCCTACCTGTGCTGCTCCACAGCGTCATTGTCTGGAAGTTCAGCCCCACAGACGCTGCACTGCTCCCCCATGGCCCGGTTCTCAGTCTTCATGCCCACAGCCAACTCGCCCAGTTTGCTAAAGAGCTCCCTCTGGATGAAGCCTTGGGGCAGGAGCCCACCATAGGTGCTAAAGTCCATGGAGACAGCCAGGGCTGCTGGCTGCACGTGCAGGGTCGAGGACATGGAGGACGGCATGCTCAGTACCGAGTCCGCCTTGTGATTGGGAAGAACAGAATAAATGCCCAGGTGCTTCTCAGCCGAGGCGACGGAGTGCTCGGGCCGACCAGCGGGGCCTTGGCTGGCTTCAGCAGGGAGCGCCGCCTGCTCTATACTCTCCTCCCGTCCATAGTGCAGCTCCCGAGCGCTGGTGATAACACTGCTCCTGGTGGGGGTCCCAGGGCCATCCTTGCTCCTCTCCTCAGCCTTGTCGCCACCCCCACCTGAGGTGCTGGACTCGGCTGCCCCTGGGCTATCCTGACCAGGCACTTCATCCACCTGCATCATCTCTGTCTTTACCTCTGCCACCCCAGAGTGCCGCCCAACACTGGCTGAGTTAGACTCATCGGGCACCCCAGGTGGCTGCAGGGCTCCCTGGAGGAGAGACTGTCCGATGCTCATCAAGCTATCCACAGCAGCCTTGGTGGGACTCATGGCTGCCAGGCCAAAAGAAGTGGACACAGAAGGGTTCTGCTCTGCCACGGCTCCGGGGAGGTGCTGCCCGGCCACGCCAGCGTACCCACTGTCCTCGATGGAATGCTTTGAGATAAAGATGTTTTTGAGGTACCTGGCCTTTCGGTCCTCTTCCTCCTCGGCGCCACCATCCGCCATGGTGGTCTCTGTGTCGTTGTCATCCGAGGCCTGGATGGTCTCCAGAATCTTCAGACATTGTTCTTCCAGGTACTCAATCTCCAGGATCTCGGCTGCATAGAGCAGGTCATCCAGGTCCTCAGCCTTGGCTTGGAGGGTGGCTGTGTAGGCATACTCCAGGATCTGCTGGAAGGTCTTTGGCGACAGGAAATCCAAGGTGTAGTGCTGGCTGTTTCGGTGAAAAAGGATCTCAAACATCTTGCTGGTACAGGCCAGGACTGTCCGGTGAGCGTGGAACTCTTGACTGTCCACCATGATGACCACATCACACAGGGTCCCTGCCAACCGCATCTGGTTGGCTTTGCACAGCAGCCCCGTGGGGTGGCTGGGGTTCTGCAACTGGATCATGCCCATCTTTGTCAGATCCATGGCACTGTCCGGGGCTTAGGCATGAGGCTGTCTTTCCTTCTGGTCTCTGTGTGGTAGGGCAGGGTGGCCTTGCAGGGTCAGCTAGACAAAAAGGCCTAAAGGAAGAGGAAAAAGAAAAATAAAGGAAGAGAGAAAGGAGAGGGAACAGAGAGATTAATCTATAGTCCCTAGAAAGGAAGAAATTCTGAAAAAAAGTTTCCTGAGCAAGAAAATCTTAGCACATAGTAAGTGCTTAATTGATTAATTATTGATTGATTGGAGTCTAGAAACACAAGGGTTTTGAATGTGCAGGGGTTTTGAGTCTTTTCCTTTTTATTTCTTCTTTCTTACTGGAAACCTGCTTTAAAAAGCCCAAAGCCGGTGGGAAGGAAGAAAAGGTTCTTTTGCCTTCACTCCTTTTCTGCCCCTTAAGCAGGTTTACGCTGTCAGATATTGCACCAACAGCTATATAACAAGAGTCAAAATCAATTTAAATTCTGTGGCGGGGGGGGGGGCTCTTTTAAAATGTTTGGTTGGGGGGAGTGGCATTATCTTCCACAGTCACATCCAGAGATGATATTACTCATACACAAATCCTGAAAAACAGCAAGTATTTAGTCCCTCCTTTTATTCAGCACAGTTAACCACATAGGAGCTAAGATTTTCCTTTCTGGCTTCTGTAGGGGAAGCCCTCCAAGTTCCAGGACAGACCAAAGTCTCATCCTCCCATTCTTCAGTGTGGCAGCCCCAAGGGCAAAGTCCATGAGAGCTAAGGGCAGGCCCCTGCAAGAGGCCAACCTATGAATGGCTGCTGCTCTCCTCCCTACATCCCTTATCATGATCAGCCAGCTAATGTCCAGCTCTGCCCGCAATGGACATCCTTTAATTTTGAATTCCTGCCTCCTCCCTCACCCCTAGGCTAACCCTCCCCATCTCTGAAGCAGCTACATGTCATAGTAGTATAGAATGCTGGACTTGCGTTGGGATCAGGAAGATCTGAATTTGAATCCAGCTTCAGATAGCAGCTGTGTGACCTTGTACACTTAATCACTTATTTTCTACTGGCCTCATCTTCCTCATCCTTAAAGAGGAGCTAATAATAGTACCTACTTCCCTGGGTTGTTTCAAGGATAAAATGAGATAATAATTGCAAAGTGCTTAACACTGTGCCTGGCACAGAGTAAGTGCTATATAAATGTTAGCTATTATTATTATTATTATTATTATTATTATTATTATTATTATTCAGTCTCTGGCAGGAACATTTCAGTAAGCTGGAGCAGGGAGGTATGGTTTATTTAGTATAAGATACTAGGAATACACTCTGTAGCTGTATGCATTTGCAATACACATAGTAGACAGATGCCTACAGAATAATAACTACTCATATTTATGTACTTCTTTATAAATTGCTTTACGTACGACATCAGTAGCTTATTCCCATTTTTCAGATAAGGAAACTGGGATTCAAAGAGCTTAAGTGACTTAAATTCAACTCAATTCAATATGAACATTTATTATGCCCCTCCTATATACAAGGCAGGGGAAAAAAAAAAACAGATTTACCCAAAGTCACGGGGCAAAAGACAAAGCATTGTGTGTATACAATACCATAGATCTATGACAGGAGAGTGTGAAAGGAAGTATATGGATAGGTCACATAAACAGAATGTGATCAGCATGAGATATTAGTGCCATGGCCAAGAGGGAGTTTCTAAAGTACATATGGTGTATCCTGTGACCCAGGACGTCTAACCTGGGATAAAGTTTGTTCCATGGGGCAGGGTTTAGAAATTTGGGCACTGGTTATGATAGGGAAATAATGCATGACCCAGAGGTACTGTAAATCTATCTACCACTGAAGCAAAACTAAAAACAGGGGGAGATGAGAGATAAGGACTACTCAGGGTCATTAGCAGAGCACCTTGGTTTCCCAGAGTCACTTAAGTGGTGGTGGGAATGGCGAAAAGTCCCATCTCTCTTACCCCCCCCACACCCAGCTGTTGGCAATAACTGACTGAACTGGAGAGAGGCAAGGAGGAAGGACACTCCCCTCACACACACACTCGGAAAAATCTAAGGCCCCAAGGAAATTGAACCCGAGAAGGGGGTTGGGAGGTGGGGAGTGGTAAATCTGTCCAGCTAGACTTAAGGGGTTAATAAGTCAGCTATTCCTTTTTAAGGTACCTCTGTGGCCCTTAACCAGGTGGAAGGGGTGGAGGAAGCTTAAAGTATAATAGAAAGCCTTCATCTGAAAAGATGGGGCTCCCCAATGATTTAGGAGTTTGACTGAGGAGGGAGTTATTTGGTGGCTCAGGGCTCTTTCTCCTCCTAACAGACCCATTCTCTAAAAGAGAGAAAACACAACAAAGAGAGAGTACCCCAGTGCCTGTTCTCCAACCTACATTTCTGCACCCAAACTGGCCTTTGAACTGAACACTGGGGACTGGAGAAAGCTAGTGTTAACACCCGATTGAGGGAAAGCGCAGCATAATCAATCTCATGCGATTCCCCCCCCTCAAGTTTCAACCCTAGAAAACCCCATGGAAGACTTAGAAGTGACTTTAGGAAACTTGGGGAATCAACTTTTCTCGGGGAGCTGGAAACCATAAGGAAGGAGAATGCTGGGCTGAGGAATAGAGAAAAACGAAAGACCCAAGGGAGGGAAATTGAGTCCCAGCCGACTGGACACAGAAGCTCTAGCCATCTGATGGAAAGGGGAGAGAGAAGGACGGAAGATGAAAAGAAAAACACAAAAGCCACCCTCCCCCTGAAAAGCCAACAAGGGGTCTGCAGCCATCATCTCCCCGCCCCCCTGCAGTGAAATGGGTGGGTGGGAGTAGGGTAGGGGATGATTAGAGGCGACTAGAAACCCTGGTATCTAGCCAAATGAGTGTCTGCAACAAACATACACAGCCGGAGAGTCAGCGTGTCGGCTAAGTGTGAGAGTGCGTGTCTTTATGTGAGTGTGATCATTACAGTGCCTGCGAGTGTCTGCGTTTGTGTGTGAATCCGAGTGTCTGAGCGTGAGAGAATAGTGGATGCCTGTCTGCCTGCCAGTCGGCGTGCCAGTGTGAGAGTGTCTTGTGTGAGTGAGCGTGCCTGTGCGTGAGTGTGAGACAAGGCATCCCAAATGCATCAGGTGCAGCGCCACCGGCACAACCCTCCCTGCGGCCGGCTAAGAGCGCACGGAGTGCTCGGGCTCCGCGGCCAGTACCGCCGGGAGGACAGGAGAAAAGAAACGGGCTCCCGAGAGAAAGAGACACACATGTACACAGAGTCCTGGTCACTCCACGCCCCCCCGCCCCGAAAAAAAATCAAGTCACGGCAGGAAAAATAAATCCTCACGTTTCTGTTTTCTTCCCCAAAAGAAACAAAACCGAAACGCGTCCTCATCCTCACTCCCCTCCTAACACACCCAGTCCCGGCCCCCAGATCCTAGCTGCCCAGCTGGCCAGTAAATAAATACACGAATAAATAACCACAATCCTATTTCGCTCCCGCGCACCCGTCGGCATACATATGAGCCCTGACCGGCTCCCGGCTCGCCGCCTTCCCCTGACCATACAAAGCCTCCCCCACCGCTAGCCTCCCCTCAGCCCAGCCGACCGCCCAGCGCCGCATCTTACACCCAGACCCTGTCCTGCAAGGGAGGGGTCGGCAGGGGGGGAGGCAGCTGCGCCCGAGCTGACAGCCGGGGCTCTCCTCTTATTCCCCCTCGGCAGCAGCAGCGGTGGCGGTGGCGGCGGCTGCAACAACAGCAGCACTAGCAGCTTCAGCAGGGGAGAAAGGCAAAGAAAATGAGGCGAAGCCAATGGGCCAGAGTGGCCGCAGCGAGCGCGCCCCCCCCGGACCTCTCCAGCCCCCCGTGCGCCCGGGCGCGCGGCGCCGGCTAGACCGTGCGCCCCTCCCCGGCCCCCCACTCACCGCTGCCGAGCCGTGCGCTCTGGGGTGGGTGTGCGTGCCTGTGGGGGTGTGTGTGTGTCTGGGAGGGGTGTTGTGGTGGAACTGTTGCTCTCGGTATTACGGCGGCGGCGGCGGCATAGCCCGGCAGTTCGCAGTACCCGCTCTCATCGCCCTTAACTCCTCTCTGCTGTGAGGTTAGCAAATCACCACCGGCTGCGGCGCCTCCGCCGCGTCCCACGTCAACGCCGAGCCCCCTCCCCTGCGAGGCCCCGGCGCCTCTCCATCTTTAGTGCTGGCGGCCGAGCGCGGCTCCCTGCCCACAGCTGCCCCCCTTCCTCCCTCCCTCGCCCCCCCTCCCCTCTCCGGGCTCAGCCCTCCCGCCCCCTGTGCTGGCCGAGCCGGGCTCTCCTCCGCCGTCCCCTCCCCTCCCTGCTGCTCTCCAGGCTCCGGGCTTCGCCTGACATCTAGCTGCTGCTGGGGCGGCAGCGCGAGCCGCTCGGCTGCCTGGGGAAGAGGGGACCTGGAGGACGGATTGGGGGAACGTGGGGGTCCTTGAAAGAGGGAAGAAAAGAAGGAAGCCAGAGCAACACCGTCCTGCTTTGGACACCCGTTTTCAGTTTTTGCTTTTTATTTTATAGCGTCCCACTCCCCGCCACACACCCTTCTAGGCTCGAAGTTTTCTCCCAGTTTGTGTACGCGCCCCAGTTAAGAGTGTGCCTGACCCTTTCCCCCTCAATTCAGGGTATCAAGCATAATTTCCCCCAACCTTGCATCTCTAGTTTTTGCTTCTAACCAGTTTGTAGTTCCCCCCTCTTGCTCCCCTGCTTTCTCTCCGATCCTCCAGGGTTGAAAAGCTGTCTTCCAGAGCCGATTTTTCTGACTTGGGTGGGCAGTGGGAGGGGAGCAGGTGGAGATCTCCGAATAGGGGAGAGTGGGGGGGGCGAGGTTCACGAAACCCCTGCCCCAATTCTCCGACTCCGATCCTGCGAGGATCAGGAGTAGTTTGGGGCCAGAGGGAAACTTGTGGCTCTGCAGCAGCGTCCCTCAGGGTCTCTAGCTGGGAGGGAGATGATTTCTAGGCTTCCTCCCCCCCACGCTCACCAATCCCCTGTCCTGTCCGAGCAGGGCAAAGTACTTGAGATGATACTGACGAGGGACCCAGAAAAGTCGGCCCCCATTTCCCCAGATGGCGCCCTAGTTCCTTAGGGGACAAGTTGAGACTATAACCCAGTATTGGGCAGACAATGGAAGTAAATCTGGTCCCTCCGCGGAGGTTAGCATACACCCCTCAATCCCTGGCCTCTCCTTCCTAGTACCCTTTGGGTAATCTGGTGAGAGACTTGCCGAGGGCCAAGAAAGGGGAGCTGTTCCTGGGGTCTCCTGCTGAGGCTGCTGACAGTAAACATGAAATAGCAAGTGATGGGGACTGGCGCCCCCAAATATGCTGGAGCGGGGAAGAGGAGTGCACGGCAGTCCCGAGGAACCCGGGCATCCCAGACCTAGCGTTAAAGGGGCGCTAGCAAGGTGAGCACGCTGCCCCACGGCTGTATACACCTTGGACAAGGTTTCGCGCGATGAACGCCTCCCCACGATCTGTTGTGGACACGCGTGTGAATGGAGCCAGGTCATGGATTTTATTTTTTTACCCAGGATGCATACATACACAGGCATATACACATTCGTGGTCTCCGAACCCTATACATCGAGCCTAGGGCTCTTGCCCTCACACTGCAGGGAGACAAAATGGAACAGAGGAAGAAAAGCGGAGAGAAAGATAAAAATCCGGAGCCTAAACACCGACCCCCCACACACACACACCCTCCCAGCCCCCAGGTTCTTTTCAACTCTGGAGTTTGCTGATATCTGGACCCTCGTGGGCTTCTTCAAGGTCAGGAACCCTGAATCAGACCCGAATTGGCCTCATCCTGGTCTTCTGCTTGACTAGGTATCATAAGAATAATACTAACACATTTTTGTAGAGCTTTAAGGTTTACCAGGCACTTCCAGCGTAGTCCGAAATTAGAAAATCCGGGTAAAAAAACATCCCGTCCTCTTTCTCCTCTTACAAGGACGGCAAAGAAGTGAGGCTTTCTAAATAAGAATTGGGAAGTGATCAGATAGAAGAAGAGGATCAGTTAGAGATTTAAAGATTAAATTGCATTAGACTGTTGGTTGAATTGAATTGACTATCATTCCTTAGACTGCATTACAGTAATACAGGTAATATCAAATTATATCGTTATTAATAGTGGTGTATTGATGTTAATACTGTTTTATAATTCAGTGTACTGCCAACTAATAAAAAATGTCCCCTCGTTCTAGCAAAAGTTGGTGAGTTGGGTGAGAGTGAATGGAGGAAGGGTTTAACTGGAGAGCTAATAACACAATGGTGAGTGAGAAGACGAGGAAAGAGAAGAGAGAGAAATGCACCTTCACTAATAGGGTGCATTTCATTGACTGCAACCACAGAAAAAGAAGACACCTTCCCCATCCCCCTTTAAAAAAAAAAAAAAACTTGTTGAATTCACTAATACTGCCTAGCAGCAATTGGAAATAAGTATCTAGATGTCCCCATTCACTCAACCACCTTTTAAGAGCAGAACCGCCTGAAAAACACATAATTAACCTCAGATCATAATCTCCCATTAATCCTCAAATGAGCAAAGGAGAGAATCACTAGAAACAATAGACAAGTGAGAACAATCTCACCCCCATTTCTTTTCCATTCCCCCACCTCCTCCCCAAATTCACTTTATGTGAAAAATCTCCCTTGCTTCATAAACTCTGCCCTTTAAAAAGCCTAGCCCTTGTTAGTAAGTGTTAAAGAGAGATTAATGCCTGAATTTAAGAGGTAGAGAAGGTAACAAAAAGAGAAAGGCAAGAGAGCCTGTGGGCTAGGTGCCAGCTTTGGGCTGGAAGGCAGCATTTCCACTTAGCACTGAAGGCTGGCTGCACAGCAGTTTGATAAGGTTTATTGGGCCCAGATAAAGCAGCAATTCCTCCACCAGAGTCTCAGCCATTTACAGTTAGAGCTGCATCCTTGGGTCCCAGGGATGCTAATGAGAGTCCCCAGTTCAGAGATTCTGTGTGGCAGCATCTCAAAACAGAAAGGATGGAAATTTGTAAACATCGAGCTATCTTCTTCATTTAATGATGCTGTATTTATTTGTAAGACAGTTGCCCTTTCCTTGAATATGGGTAATAGAGGAAGCCTGAATCATCTCTTTAGGTCCTTAAAAACAGAAGCGGTGCAGTAGGTACAGTGTAAAAATCACTAGATTTCAAGCCAGAAGTTACAAGCCCATCTCTTCAAGGAACTAATGATGTGACCTTGGGCAAGTCACGATACTGGATCTGGAGTAAAAGGACCTGGGTTCCAATGCTGCTTCTGTCCCTTACTGTTTGGGCAAGTTACTTAACCTCTCTAGGGCTCAATATCTTCATCTGTCAAACAAGGGAGTTGGCCTAGATGACCTCAAAAGTCATATGACCACAGATTTTGAGCTAGAAGGGACCTCAGAGGTCAGCTATTTCCCTCATTTTTTCAGATAAGGAAACAGGCCTAAGGAGGTTTAAGTGACTTGCCCAAAGTCATAATAAAAGTGGTAACTACCAAAGGCAGGATTTGAACCCAACTCCTTTTGTTCCAAATCCAGTGTTCTTTTCCATCCATAAATCAATGATGTCAAGTCACCTCCCTTTTCTGGGCCTCAGTTCCCTCATTTGTAAAATGAAAGTATTGGACAAAATAATCTCAAAGATATCTTTCAGCTCTAACTGCTCTGTTCCTAGGATAGATTCCCAACTACCAGGCATAGATTAGGTAAGGTCATGCCTAGAGGCAGAAGAATAGATGAAATGAACTTTCTTCAGTCATAAATTAATCTTTTTTTCCCCCATTTGCCAGAACTTGAACACACACATTTAAAGGGCTGTGGCTTAGCTTGCCAGTGCTCTAGCTGTTGAGCAAAGAGATGTGAGAGGCAGCTAGGCAAAGTAGATAGAGTGCCAGGCCTAGAGTCCTCCTGATTTCAAATCTGCCCTCAGACACTCACTAGCTGTGTGACCCTGGGCAAGTCACTTAACCCCCATTGCCTAAGAAGGAATCAGTTCTTTTTTTTCCTGCCTTAGTAATTAGAGCACATCTTTTTTTTTCCCCCTTTTAAATAGTATCTTATTTTTTCCAATTACATTGAAAGACAATTTTAAACATTGATTTTAAAATAAAATTTTGAGTTCCAAATTTTCTCCTGTCCTCCCTCCTTTCCCTTCCTCTTCTGAGGTAAGCAATTTTATATAGGCATTGTGTAGAGCACATCTTTTTATAAAAAACTACATTCTATTTTCAGAAACTTTGAAATTGGAAAGTGTACAACCAAATCCAAGAGTAATGAAGGGGAAGGTGTGCTGCTGTTTCTGTTCCCCTGTTTTCTGGGAATCCCAGCAAAGGGAAAGAAAAGGGCATGAATGCAAGAGGGAACTAGCTAATAGCTGGAACTCTTCCATACTGGAAAAGGCTTTAGGATCTACAAGTTAACTTAGTAACTCCTCAGTTTTTCTCACTAATGCTCTCTGAGGGCAGGGACTGCATCTGATTCAGCTTTATAGCCTTCAGCACCTAGCACCATTCTTTGCATATAGTAGGTACTCAATAAATTTTTAAGTTGAATGGTGTAGGTTCTTTCAGGGCCCCTTTGGTCATTATTGTGAATAACAATGTGGAAAGTGTAGATCACTGAGAGCAATAGAATTTTTTTTTTGGTCCCCCAAATTTACCTTAAAAATTTCAGTTTATCTTTGTAGAAACAACAACTAAGTATATGCCCTTATTTTGTTTAGTTACCAATTTGTCCTGTCCTCTTAAAAGTGATGAATGTGGAGGGTAGAAAAAAGTATTGGATTTTGTATTTCTTACAGGTATGGATTAAATGGTTCCCACATAATCAGAATTTTACTCTTATTTGGATAAATGAGTTAGAAAACTTTTTTTTTTGCTTGAATAATACAGATAATTGTTCCTCATCTTCACTACATTTTCGGCATTTTGCCTGGAAAGATCCGGCAACAGTGAATGTTACAAACTTTGGTTTCTTCTGTTCAGAGTTTTGGATGCCCTCAGTATCTCCACTGCACCAATAACTTTGAGTGAGGAGGGGGTCAGAGGGGCCATAAAAGAATATTACTATCTCTTCTCAGCCTCTGAGACCCTGGGTCATTGTGACCCCCTAGATCCTAGTGCTTGAAGAA